AAGAAGAAGAAGAAGAAAGTAATAGTCTACAGTCTAATTTAATGAAAGGGAGTGGGGTCTGTAGGAATCCAGAGAAAAACTAAAGGGTAGGCAAGGACTTGTTCATCTTGGGGATGTGTTCCATGGCAGATGTGGGTGAGCTGGTCAATGGCAGGTCTATCCTAGTGGCAAGATGGCTGCCACGGGCTGATTCAGCTTGGTGATGCTGTCCCTGGGTACCACCCAACAGGTTTTCTAACTAGATAGATAGGGTATCAGCAAGTGAGAAGGAGAAGTCCCATCTCTGTGGTAATTGTATTCTAGCCCATATTTTAACTCTAGTTTGTGTATTCATTTCTTGTAAAGTCTGGTTAGCCTGAGCTGATCCTCCTTATCCTCCTCGACTCTGAAGACTACTAGACTTTAATGCTCAGGACCTAGATCCTGGAATATAAAGACCCCCCTGGTCAGCACCACGTGGGGAAGGCCTGTCTGAGGAGCCCGCCAGCCCTCCTCTCTGAGTCCAACCACCTCCTGATTTCTGCGGGTTCCTTGTTAACCAAGGAACCTGTCATCTGGCTGCCCTTGGGCTTCAAGTACTATTAGTACCAAAGAACTTCTTCGTCTACAGTTTTTAATCAATCAGTGATTAATCACATTATTAACTTCTGAAAACAGCTCATTAGGTAATGTGCTTCTGTTGACATTACACCCTTAATTGCTACTGCTTTTAGCAATTCAGTATTTATATGTGAGTTTTGTGCCATTAACATTTTTTAAAGCTCAGAGCTTCTATGAAAAATATCAATATACTTCTTTTGGCTAGGCTATTTTATCCTGATAGAGAAAAATGTATAGCATACCCGCCCCCCAAAAAAGCACATATCTACATGGAATAGAATATATATATATATATTTTTTTCCCATCCATTAGAATGAAATATTTGCATGCTCTGATCTTACTCAGTTTTATTGTCTTGGTGGATGCCATTTTTCTTGGTGCAATTGTAAAATTCCCTCACCTCTATTTCAGTGGGGAAGAGAATAGATTTATCTTATCTTATGTGCATTAATAAATTCATTTAATGATCAAAATGTTAGGTCAACTGAAGTCATCCAAACCCAATACATTCATTGGCACATGATCTGAAGGTACAAAGACATGCACCGAGGTGAAAAGGAACAGTGGTTACTTAAACTGCAAGAATTTCAGGACAGAAAGGAAAAGGAGACGCTGGGTTCCGAGTGCCTCCTCTGTGCTGGGCACAGGGACGGGTCCTTTGTCTGTGAGCTCTTCTTATTCCAGTTTGCAGGTGAGGAAACTGAGCCCAGGGAGGACGGACACTTCGATAGGAAGTCATTTCTCTAAAACAAATAGTTTAAGTTGGTTCTGAATTAACATGTGAGCACACATACACACGTGTGCACACACACACACACAGTATTTGTCAGAAGGAATGAAGTCAAAGGGTCTAAATAATCTAAGCACAGAATAAACTATTCTCATGTGGACAGCTGTTGAAAGGAGGAAGAATCCACTCAAAACTGTTTGCAGCTCGTTCCTGTGGCCATTCGAGTCCACAGCTGGGTGGGTGGATGCCAGGGAGACTCTGCCCAGGGACCAGTACTCAGCCCATGTCGTTCTGCTTCCGGTGGCATCGTATCCTACTTGGGGTCCAACCTGTGAGCCTAGTGATTGTGGCCCCATCTGTGCCTCAGACCTCGTCACACCACTCTGCCTCTCAGTAACCTCCTCGCTGAGCCTTGAAGCCTCCTCCACTGCTGGAACCTGGTCCCCAGGTGTCCCCAGGGCTGCTCCCTT